AAATAACGAATTTGCGCTAAGGAGAAATGACTGTAGAAGAGTACTTTGGGATACTAAAGCATAAGTGAGAAGAATTAGACCACTATTAGACTATTAATGCCACTATTGATGACATTAAAAACAGGGCGAGCAACAAAAGATCTTTAAACTCTTAGTATGTCTACATCCTGACTTTGAACTTCAGAGAGCACAAGTTCTAGAAAAGGACAAGTTTCCCTCTCTTAAATCAGTCTATACTTATGTAAGAGGGAAGGCCAATAGAAAGGCTACTACAAACGGACCAAACTCTGGCATCCATTCTGAACAATCGTCCTTTGCAATAAGCTTCAAGCAAGGAAAAGCAGCTACAAAAGGACCAAATCGTGCCTTACTTTCTCCTGTCCAAAAGGAGAAACTCAAATGCCCCCATTGTGGTAACAAGAGACACACTCAAGAGCAATGTTGGGACGTGTATCCACACTTGATACCAAAACCAAGAAATGCCAGTGCCCATATTGTATCAAGCGAGGGGAGGAAACCTCAGCCACACAACCCAATGTATCTGATCCAAGAGAACAGGCCATCAAAGATTTACAACACCAATTGACTGCTCTCAAGCTTCACTCTGCTCTAAGACACCGGTAGAACCACCGGTATATATGAAACTGCAAATCGTGCCTCCAACTCCACATCCTCTACACCCTAGATCATTGAATCTGGGGTTGTTGACCATATGACTGGTAAGAAAGTTGGTTTCTTATCTTTTTCTTCTGCTTCTAGTGAAGTTAAACTTGTTGATGGATCAATGACAAGTGCCATTGGGAGTATTAAATATAAATTTTCATCATCCTTGTCCTTGCCCTCTGTAATACATGTGCCTTCTTTTCTTTCTAATCTTCTTTCTGTTCACATTCTAACAAAACAGCTAAACTGCAGAGTCACATTTTACCCCTCACATTGTGTTTTCCAAGACCTAAAAACGAGGAGGACGATTGGTGGCAGTCATAAAGACAATGGGTTGTATTGTTCAACACGAGATGCACTTCTACTGCTCTCAGTGCTGAGTCTCAAAGTCATGAGCAAGTCCTCTTGTGGCACACTCGCTTAGGCCACATGTCTCTGAAATCTTTGAAACTAATGTTTTCAGATAAGTTTGTTTCTTTGATTGTTCCTTAGTTACAATGTGAGACCTGCCAATTGTCTAAACATTATAGGACCTCTATTTCTTATAGTGAAAATAAAAGTTCTAAGCCATTCCATCTTGTTCATTATGATGTTTGTGGCCCTTCTCCAGTAATTTTTGTATTTGAATATCGGTATTTTATCTCATTCATCGATGACTGCTCTTGATATACTCGGATCTATCTTATGAAAAGTAGAGATGAAGTACCTTCAGTGGTTAAAATATTTCATAAAATGGTTCAGAGTCTTCAGACCCAGTTTGAGACCCAAATAAAAATTTTCCATTCTGATAATGCACGAGAGTATCTATACAATGGATTAAAAAATTATTTTCTTGAACATGGTATAGAAGCTCAAACATCATATTCTTATACACCACAACAGAATGGTGCGGCAGAACGGAAAAATAGACACTTGTTATAAGTGGTGAGAGGCGTCTTAATGGGAATGAAGGTTCCTAAGACATATTGGGATGACATAATTTTTATTGCTGCCCATATGATCAATAGAATGCGTACACCTATTCTTGATGGTGCTTATTCTTTCAAATTTCTCCACAACGCACTTCCTCTGTTTTCTCTTCCACCAAAAACCATTGGTTGTGCCCTCTTTTGCATACTACAGGGCAGGCTAGGAATAAACTAGGACCTCAATATACTAGATGGGTATTCCTAGCATACTCGAATTCTCCAAAAGGATACAAGGGTTACTGTCCAGAAATTAAAAGAAAATATGTCCCAAAGGGTGTTACCTTCTTTCCAATGATCACAGATAGTTCTAGTAATCCAACCAAGGAAGAGCTGGAATCTACTGAAAAACAGCTGACTATGTACACCCAGAAAAAGAACAAGGATAAGTCTGATGTAAACAATCAACCCCAACTCTTTGACTCGTCAAGTGCTATTACCCATGTTCCTTCTCAACTCAATTTACCTATTGACCTAAGGAAAGAAAAAAAGACTCGTACTTCTCATCCAATCAGTAAGTTTGTTTCTTATGCTTCACTTTCACGTTCCTTCCATGCATACCTCTGTTCTACTTCCTCTGTTCCTATTCTTACCAAAGTTGCTGATGCATTGGCTCAACCACAGTGGAAAGCGGCCATCATTGACCAAATGATTGCCTTAGAGAAGCAACAAAAGGACAACATGTGATTGGATGCAGGTGGATGTGTACCCTGAAGCACAAACCAAATGTTCGATTGAGAGATACAAAGCTCGTGTAGTAGTGGCTAAGGGTTTTACACAGTTATATGCGGTTGACTATAGAGAGGCTTTTGCTCTTGTAGCAAAAATGAAATCAGTACGGATACTTTTATCTATTGCAGTAAACAGGAAAATGGCCACTCCACCAATTAGACATGAAGAATGCAGTTTTTCATGGAGACTCGTAAGAGGAAGTGTATACGACATTATCACCTAGGTTTTATCCTCATGGGGGAAAGGGAAGGTCAGTAAATTGAGAAAAGCTTTATATGGATTGAAACAATCACCTTGGGCTTGGTTCAAAAAATTCAGTATGGCAATATGTCAGTTCGGATTTCAAAGAAGTGTTTCAGATATTTTTGTATTTGTTAAATGAGATTCTTGTTCTACCACAATACTAGTAGTACATGTAGATGATATAGTGCACACAAGAAATAATGATCATAAGATTCAAAAGGTGAAAGATTTCTTGGGGGTAGTTTTGACATCAAGGATCTTGGTCCATTGAAATACTTCCTTAGAATAGAGGTGCTAAACAAGGAAAGTTTTTGCCTCAAAGAAATTATACTCTTGATCTTCTCAATGGCACGGGAATGCTTGGAGCCAAACCAGCAGAATCTCCCAATGAGGTTAACGACAAATTATATGACCAGCAGTCAGAACCTCCAAGTAACCATGGCGTATATCAGAGGTTAGTGGGTGGACTTATTTATTTTGACTATTACACGGCCAGACATCACATATATTGCAAGTGTGGCAAGTCAGCTTATGCACGCATCATGCTCCCATCACTTGGTGGTTGTTTATCGCATTTTACGATATTTGAAATCTGCTCCAGGGAGAGGGCTACTTTATACTAGCCATGGTCACCTTGATGTACAAGGTTTCTACAATGCAGAGGGGGCTAGGTGTTCTCTTGATCGACGATCCACCAATGGCTACTTTATGACAGTGGGTGGTAATCTAGTCATCTGGAAGAGTAAGAAGCAGAATGTTGTAGTTCAATCTTCAAGAGAAGCCGAGTATCCAGCAATGGCAAGTGGTACATGTGAAATAATTTGGCTCCGTTCTTCGAGAGATTGGGGTTAATGTTCGGCTTCTATTTCTCTACGATCTATATTATGATAATCAAGCGGTAATTTATATTGCATCAAATCCCTTATTTCATGAAAGAACCACGCATTGAAGTTGACTGTCACTTCGTCAGAGAAAAGGTCATTTCTAAGACTATATGTACTCCATTTGTTCGATCTGAGAATCAATCGGCAGACATACTTACTAAGGCCTTTAATCGAGTTCGACTAAAGGATGCTTTGGCCAAGTTGGGCATCTATGATATATATACTCCAGTTTGAGGGGGAGTGTAGTGACAGTAATAGTCATGCACAATGGGTTGTAATAGTCATGTAATGTATTGCATAAGGGGCTATAACAGCCATGTAAAGATTCATACATAATGGGCTGTAACAACCATATAATAGTCGTGCATAATGGGCTGTAAGATCCATGTAACATTCATGCATGATGGGCATAGTCATGCAACGACCATACATAATGGGCTGTAACCGCCATATAACAGTCATGTATGATGGGCTGTAATAGTCATGTAACAATCTATGCCATAGGAGCGCGTGCTTTGATGTGTAGCCTATGCGGTACATCAAATCGCTTGGAGCTTCGCAAGAGCAAAAAGCCCTGCCAATAGTTTGACCTTGCTACCACTGGCTTTGCTCCTTGCTTGTCTTGCCACTGGCCCAATAAAGGAAGGTTCTTTATCTCGTAGGAGCCCATTTGTACGAATTGCGAACATACCACGCACGACCAGACGTAGAGCCAAGCCACTAAGAGCTGGGTACCAGACCGGGCCGGCCACAGGTGCCAGATCCGAAAAGTAGAGTATCGATCAGCCTAGTGCACCAACCTACATAATGGGCCGTAACTCCTATGCATGTTGAACTAATTGTATTATAAGTCCCATAGGGATCTATGTATATAGGGCACATTACCCCACGATTTGTATAGAGTGAAAAGACATCTATACTTTATGTATCTTGTCCTTGAATTTATTCTCTTTTCTCTCTCAATCTTAACAAAAAAATATGATAAAAAAGGGGCCATTTTAGGCTTTTAGAGTCATAATCTGGACCAGCCAGTTTGATACTGGATCAGTGAACTGCCAGTCCACTAGTTTGGTGGACATTCTGGTCCCGGGTTTCAACTAGACTGGAATACCCATTGCTTTACAGGTTTCCAGTCTTATACGGTCTTAACATCATTGATATATACAGTTTTGCAACTAATTATACAGTCTCATAAGACATCACAATTTTGTAATGATTTAAGTTTAACTAATGAAAACTAGTGAACCTTCAAAAAAGAATGGTTTGGAGTGAAAGCATCAGTCTAGTGGAGCAGTTCCATCATCTAGAACAAAATACCTTGTCTACCATAGCCATAAAATGTGCACTACACACAACTATGCAAATGGCATCTAAATGGAAGCACACATGTGCCACAAAAATTAGAGAAACAAAAAAAAAGGAAAAAGGATGGATAGACAGATCAATGATTCATGCATATTCTTTTCAATACTAAAGAACTACCGTGAACCATCCAAAGATAGATAAAACTTACTTCTGAATAAAGCATACAGGAAGCAACCAACACTCTTTGTCTTCTTGACTCTGCAATGGGCATATTTAGAACAGGCGCAAGCACGCTGTACGACATCACCATAGATCAGTAACTAGTACTTCCAATTAACTTAATAGAAACTGAAATAGAACTAGTAGAAAGATGCTCTTTCTCAACCAAGTCTAAGATACATAAAAAATTTGTCAGACTGACTAAAAACAAAGTGCATAAAATTAATTGCAACAGCTGTAACATGAATCTGCCAATCTTACAAAGAAAACAAATCAATAATTTATCCAAGGAAACAAAACCAATCATCTAAAGCATCATGTAAATCTAGAGAAATAACAACTCGCAATTTTAACGTAGCATCCATTTTAAACGAAACGTGTAGTGTAGGTCTAACTTCTCAGACAGAGAAGATAGGGAACCCCAATCATGTATGGGTGCATCATAGGTCTAGACATTTTATAGCAAGACTATGAAAGCAACTGATCAGTCAATAACATATCAATGCATTAAACATTGCTTAAGATGCTCCTAAAGCCTAAAAAACATAACCCATATTTCTTCTAACTGGGAGCAGGTAATCCAGCAGAAGAGAGAGAGAGAGAGAGAGAGAGAGAGAGAGAGAGAGAGTCCAAGACTTTCCTCCACAGCAATGCTGAGCGTGGTTTTCTTGTTGATAAGCTTCTACTGTTTTCCAATGATGGAGTGCTACTTGATTGCCATGATAAGCCTTCACTTATATCACCTTTGACGCTGACATTCCTCACAAAAATTCCATCTTCACCATTATCTTCTTCCCTCATGGAGACAAGTACCATTCGAAGCATGCATAAAAACGGTTGGTCACTGTCCAGCAGCTGATAGAGAGCAGTCATTCCTCCCATTCCAGTACCAGAACCCCCACCAATCCCCAAGCCACCACCAAGTCCACATTCATCTAATAATAAGGCTTGAAGCATAGCAACCGACTTTTTCACTAAAGGAAGCTCAATCCAATTTCCATTAGCATCCTTTTCTAAGGCAGCATCCCAAGATTCCCAGCCACTACCACCACCACCAAATGTTGTATTCTTTGAGGAAAGGCCAACCCCATACCACATCCTGCTCCTATATTTCCAACCTTCTGCCAGATCTAAAGCACAGCTGCCATAGGAAACAAAAGCACATCGAACAGATTCATAAGGCTCTGCAGCAGCTGCTGCTGTAAGGCGCTCCATAGCAACTGCAGAAATTTGCCCATTAGCATCAGCCATTGAAGCAAGTACCTGATCAAAAGAAGAGGAATAATTATTAAATGAAAAGAGAAAGAGAGGAAAAAACAAATATAAATTATGCTAATTCATACATAATCTGTAAAATAAGTTATAGAAAATGTCATTCACATTACTCCGAATAAACAAACCAGAAAACCCTGAGAACCATGAACATAAAAGCTGGTCAGAGAATCACAATAACTCAGAACAGCATATCAGCCGCAATCTAAAAGAATCTTCAAACTACAGGAATGTTTACCACAAACCGCAAAAAGAAAAAGAAAAAGACAGGGGACTCAGATACCTCACACATAGTGCTAGTACTAAAAATCAAAATCAGTTGTATTTGAAAGAACTGATATTGATGTAACTACCCCTACCATATATCCAATAACAAAAAAAAGGACCACCAATAAATAATTTGAGAAAGAAACATCAAGACTGCTAAGTACAGCAGAATACTCACATCAAGAGAAAGACCTCCAGAATCACTTGATGAAGATTGTCTACGAGATCCTAAAGTCTCTGAAGATTCTAACGTTGATTTACTCAATGAGTTTGAGCGGCTGCCACTGGACCAAGCAACAGAAACAGGAGAGCCTGAACCTTCAACAGATTGTGAAGAAGTAAAAACCTGGCTTTGCAATCTTAAATGATCCTCCACAAGCATCAGAATTACAATTGCATTCTCTGCCAGAGCCACAGAAAGTTGAGCAGCAGATTCTGCTTCCATTTTTGCAACTTGTGGCGATAACCCTTCAGCTGCAACACCAGCAGCTGCAGCTGCAATTACTTGAGTCTGCTGCAAAAAAAGGGATTAGTGAAAAATAATAGCAGCTTTTATACAAGACAACAGACAGTACTGACACTGACAGGAATTTATATTAAGAAAACAAAAGAAAAACATGGGTAATTGCGTGTGATGGCTGCCCTGATACCACACTCACACAGAGCTAAGACGACAATAGAAATCAACAGCAAGGAAGGGGGAAGGGGGGAGATTAAACAACCTGATATCTTGTCAGATGATCCATGCCAAACCAAATAAGAAAAATAATAATATAAATTTCCATAATTAAAAAATGACACTTGCAGTTATTTAAAAAATGTGGTGTATTGCATTTTTCAGATGAAAGAAATACTACCTGAACTTGTAGTTCTCTTGCTGCAAAGTCAAGTAATCCACCCAAAAGCCTTCTCTTGAAGATAGGCAATGATTCTTCACGTCTTTCAACAAAACAGAACACAAAACTTATAAAATTGTAAAAGGGAATAAAATGACCCAAAATGCATATGAAATTATGTTAGTGAGTTCGCATATTCCATACCAACTATAAACATAGTAAAAACCATTTTCTTATGAGGGAGAAAAATAGATATACAGGACTAAGAAAGGATGCGGGAGATAACAAGGAAATATGAAATAAACTCTAGTTTACACGCTGTTACTTAACATCCATTAAATATATACCAGCAGTAAGAAAAATATAAGAGTGAAACAGAGAAATGCATCCTGCTAAAACATGCAACAAAGGGAATGAATCTTAAATGCTAGGAAAAGCTTCAAGGCATCAACAGGATACCAAAAACCCAGTACTATTCAATTAGGTTTAGGTATACAAGTTTGCTACTCCATATCTGCAGACTAAATTGATCAAAAGATCGGGAGAAAATAAGAACTGCCTACCAAGTACCAACAAACAGTAAATCATTTTATCATTTCAATACAGGGGAAAGGAAGCCAAAACAATAGTCTTTAAAGTCCAACTTATTGCTCGACTTTTTCTCTAAAAAACATTGCAAATTTTCATCTTTAACCTCGTAAAAGAATGCAAACAACCCAAAGTGGCAAGCATTTTTAGTTCATCAAACTAATGTGGCCAAGACACTTGCTATATCATGCTTACATTATACAAAGTGAACGAAGATGAATGTAATAATGAGAGAACTTCATAAAGAAATCTTTAAAAATCTGTATAATACCAAAATTAAACCCATGCTTTTCCTATTTCAGCAGAGGGCTTCCATATTCATGGCTCTAAATAGGACCTACCTTTGGAGGAATAGCTAAAGAAGGGACTTTTACAAAAATGGCCATCATATATTCCAGACTCTTTTAACCTGTTCAACTCATAGAAGCACATTTACAAAATACCCCTCTATTATTAATAAAATAACCAAATACATCATATCAGGTGAAGATAAATTTTAAATTTTATTATTTTACCTAATTTTATGATAAAGAGATTTTATTTTTCAAAGGAAAAAGTGTGTTCTCTATTTTAAAAAAATTTAATGTCTTTTTTCTAAGGCTGAAAATTTTAGATATAGAGTAAACTTTTTCCAAATCAAAGTACAAAAGTAAATTCAATGTGTAAAGTTAATTAACTTTTATTGATTAGTAAACGATAAAAATTAATATTTTATTGATTAGTAAATGATAAAAATTAAGATTTAAACACTTCATTTAGTAGCTTAGTATTTGAAAAAAAAATTAATATCCATCTCATATACCCTGACTCGAGAAATTAAAGATCCCCTATTACTTATAACATTGTATGTCAAATTATAAATTGACAAAGACCATTATTAATGAGACAGTTTTTGCATAAATATTATCTGAGGCATTTTGTTAAGGAAGAAGATTTCGTGGTCCCACCATATCAAACCATAGATTTGGCCTGCAGCGAAATACCATGCTAAGGGATTTGTTTGCCACAAACTCCTCAAGTCAGCTTTATTCATGTTTTTTTATTAATTTTTTGAAATTAAATTGATTTGCAGTTCAAAAAATACTCCAATCAATAATCAATTCCCTTTCAAAAATTGAATCTAGACAGACAATAGAACTTCATCACCATCTTCATCAGAGCCTCATCCCAACTATTTGTTGAAAATGATGCAAAAACTTAGCAGTTGTGGTCCGTGCCTAGGGTAGTTATGTGTTATGCGTATCTCTCTATGTTAGTGGGTAGTTATCTATTGCAGGGAGTTATCAAAGAATCAGACTATGTTAGTGGGTAGTTACTTAGAAATTGTGTCATGTAGATTTGTGGGTAGTTTGAGTCACGTAGGTTTGTGGATAGTTTGAAAACTGCTAGGTAAATGCTTATAAATAGGAACCATGTAATGGGATAATTGTAACATGTGGATGTAACATGTACCGCACCTGTGAAATGAGATATCAGTGATAAACCTTGTGAGTTTGTAATCATCTCTCAAAGAAATAGTGTGTACTTACTTTAAAGTAACCAAATACTGTAGAAACACCCACGCATATTTCAAAGATACCAACTGTGGTATAAGAGCTTTCCAAAAAATCCAACATGGTTCCCATTGCCTTTCTGTCGTGGTTCCCATTCATCTCCACCTTCCAATCTCGCCTCTTCTTTAACCAGGCATTCAATCAAGGCTTGGAGATCTCCCTCATTCTCATTGGAAACCGTGCGAATGTTGAAACTTGATTTCTCTCCCTTTCTATCATCAGCACCAAGGGTTCAATGTCTAGAGTTCTTGTAGGAGTGGAGCATGAAGTATTTCTCTTTCATCAAGATGGTTGAAAATTGTGAGGTGTTGCTATTTTCACTTTATGTGGGGGCGGAATGTGAATATATTGACACGACTGTAAAGAGATTGGCTGGGAGTTTAAGGCTTTGTGACATAAGATTTATTGCTTTAGAGAAGGTAGGGGTGAGGGAGGGTTCTCCCATGTTTAATACTTTCTATGTTTCCATTTATAACTTTAAATGCTTCCTATGTTTTCCTGAAAAAAAAAAAATGAATTTTGCATCATGTTGGATTTTTTGGAAAGCTCTGATACCACAATTGGTATCTTTGAAATATGCGTGGGTGCTTCTACAGTGCTTAGTTGCTTTAAAATGAGTACGCACTCTTTCTTTGAGAGATAATTACAACTCAAGAGACAATTACAAACTCAAAAGGTTTATCACTGATATCTCATTTCACAAGTGTTGCACAGGTTACATCCACAGGTTATAATCATCCCAATACATGGTGCCTATTTATAAGCATTTACCTAGCAATTTTCAAACTACCCACAAACCTACATAACACAACTTCTTGAAAACTACCCACTAACATAGAGTGATTCTTTGATAACTCCCCACAATAGATAATAACCACAACTTAGAGTGATTCTTTGATAACTCTCCACAATGGATAACTACCCACAAACATAGAGTAATTCTTTGATAACTCCCACAATAGATAACTACCCACTAACAAGAGTGAAAGAGATGAGTAAATCACACGGACCTCAACCCCTAAAATTTTGCATCATATTTCCTACATTCCTCCTTGATGCAAATCTTTTTTAAACTTCCTGTACAAGATTTTCAATGAAATTACAAAGGTCTTCATTTTCTTCCTTTAATGTAAAAACCAGGGCTTCAAAGCTTTTCAAATATGCTTCTTGCCTTCTTCATTTCACAAATTCCTTCTTCCCTTGCAATCTTCACCTTCTCTTCTTCGTCATCTTGAATTTCAATGACTTCCTTCGTTTTTGCTAACTGCAATATGGCAAAATGAGATGCATTGTATTCGGCTTCTTTTCTTGTATCCATATAGGATCCTGAAAATTCTCTTCCCCCGACTTCTACCTCACAGATAAAAATAGGGGTATGGTCGGGTCCCCCTTGATAATTTTGTAAATTGGTTTTTCAATATTTTGCTTTTGGCAAAAATTCATTCAACATGCTTATTGGAGTAGGAATTGCCATATTTCTTGATGTCTTTTCTACACAATAATTGGAGCAATTAGTTTCCTTTTAATTCCTTTTTTGAAACATTTTTCTCCCTTTTCTTTTTTATGCCTTCTCATGGCATCCTCATGCCTTTTCATGGCATGAAACACTAGGACTATGGTATCCTTTTTTCTTATTCAAAAATCAATTTTCCTATGCCTACACTAGGCATGGATTTCCTATCATGCCTTTTTATGGCACAATTTTTTTTTTTTCTCAAAAATCATTTTTCCTATGTCTAAACTAGGCATGGATTTCCTGTCATGCCTTTTCATGGTACGATATACCAAGACTGCGGTGTCCCCTTTTTCTTTTTTTCTCAAAAATCATTTTTGAAAACTTGTGAGAAAAAATGACATCAAGAACTCTCCAATTTTGTTTTCCCCTTTTTTAACTCCTTCTTTTCCATTAACACCTCATTCTTTTCTTGTCTTTTTGCTTCCCTTTATTTTTATCAATCCAAAAGACTCTTTTTTTTCTTTAATTTTGAAAAATCACTTTTTTTTTATCAAGACCCAAACATTGTTTTCATTTTAATTTTCCAATACTCAAAAAATTCACCTTTGAAAATTGGAATCAATAGTTGAGAAATACTTGGACTACTAGTGTGTGCCATATGGAATAATGCAAGAAATCAAATAAAGAGATTTAATTTTCTATCACCTTTCCCTTGAGTTGACCTACTGGTGCTAAATTTCTACACCGATGCCTATCTCTTTAGCAACCTGTGATCTACTTATCTCTTTTTTTTGGCAACCTGTGCTCTTCAATGCTTATCTTTTTTTGGCAACCTGTGTTCTCCAATCTTTCTCTTTTTTTTGGCAATGGTGCTCTCCAATAGCTATCTGGTACCATGTTGGACTTTTACAAAAGCTCTGATACCACAGTTGGTATCTTTGAAATATGTGTGGGTGTTTTTATAGTATTTAGTTACCCTAAAATAAGTACGCACTCTTTTTTTAAGAGATAATTACAAACTCATAAGGTTTATCATTGATATCTCATTTCACAAGTGTTGCACAGGTTACATCCACAGGTTACAAATATCCAATTACATGGTGCCTATTTATAGGCATTTACCTAGCAGTTTTTCAAACTACTCACAAACCTATATGACTCAAACTACCCACAAACCTACATCACACAACTTCTAGATAACTACCCACTAACATAGTGTGATTCGTTGATAACTCCTTACAATAGATAACTACCCACTAACATAGAGTGATTCTTTGATAACTCCCACAATAGATAACTAACCACTAACATAAAGTGAGAGAGAGGAGTAAATCACACGGACCGCAACCCCTGAAATTTTGTATCATATTTCTAACATTATTTCGAATCGGCTACACGAATCATGTTCCGCCATTATGCTCTATCAAGGGCTATATCCTTAGTAAGACCATAAGTCCCTATATCTTTTCTCACTACTTCTGTCAATATCCTTTTGGACCTTCCCTTACCCTTTTAGAGCCTTGCACTTAAATCAAGTCACGCCTCCTAATCGATGTTGTATTAGGTTTATGTTGCACATGGCCAGCCCACCTAAGTCTAGTTTCCCTCATCTTATCCCCTATTGAAGCCACACCTAAATTCCCTCAAATATATTCATTCTGAATTTTATCCTTTCTTGTCTTGTCACTCATCTATCTCAAAATCCTCATCTCAACTACACTCATCCTATGGATATATTGTTTCTTGACTGCCCAACACTCCGTCTCATAAAGCAAAGCTGATCTCAGAGCTGCTCTATAGAACTTCCCCTTCAGCTTCATCGGTTTGTGGTGAACACATAAAAATCCGGATGCACATCTCCACTTCACCCACCCAGCTCTGATTATTTGTGCGACATCTTCCTCATCTCTCCAATTTCCTAGATTATTGATCCAAGATGTAGAAAATACTCTCTTTTAGGTATATCTTGGCCATCAATCTTAACTACTTCCTCGTTCTACTCCTATTATTGCTAAATTTCCATCCCATATATTTTGTCATAGTCGGGCTAATTTTAAAACCTTTAGATTCTAGAGCATCCTTCAAAGTTCTAACTTTGTGTTGATGTTGCTTCTAGTCTCATCGATCAAGAGAATGTCATCTGCGAACAATATACACCACAGTACCTCATCTCTCATCGATCAAAACAATGTCATCAACAAACAACATACACCACGGTACTTCATCTTGTAGGTGCCTAGTAACTCATCCACAAACAATAAAACATAATATTTTAAAAGCTCAAAATCTTTTTTTTTTTTGGAGTTAATTAACCATAGGGCAAATCATAGATAATTTAAAATTTTTCAGGCCATAAAATTCCTCCTAACTGGTGTTTTGCCTGCAAGACCATATAACACGCACTAAGGGGCAAGGTAAAAGTTCTCTTTCTATACAATGGGCCCCCATACAGAGTCCCTACAAATATGGTGCCTTCAATAAGGAGATTTCCTGCTTAAATAGGAAAGGCATAGATTTAGTATTTATATTTCACTGTCATAAGGTAACTTTTGATGTTATCGCAATGAATTCTCAAATTTTTGCTGTATTTGACTTAACAAGATTTTCCATTTTAACCGTCCATGTTAAGTTTATAGCCTTCTTCAGGACCTGACCGTTCTTTTATTTGGATCTCCGTCTCACCCCACAAATGCCTCGCAAGTCAGATGAGATACATCACTGACATAATTAAAAAAGCAACATCCTAAAACTCAATGTTGAAGCAAATGCAGGTTAACACCATAGCCATGAAAATTATTCAGTCCAGGACTTACAATAAGAAATGCTAACCCTATACATGTTATTTTGTACCAGCAGTCCAGTGTAAATACTCTCTATCATGAATAGTCTGGCCCGAGCGTTATCAACATAATGATGACCCAGAACCAGTATTATATGAAGAATGGGTGCTGTCCATAAATCAATACTTACCAGAAAAAAGCTAGAGAGCCGCATATGCAAACAAAGAAAATGGTACAAAAAACATAATCAGAAGCAAATAATGAAAATATTCTTGTAATTACCTTATCCGTTGCTCTCCAGCACTAGATCCTCCAACCATAGATAACCATTCGGCACAGTGAAGGGTTGCTTCGATATCCTGAAAGGAAAAGCTTTGGTCGTGACTGTACCAGATTTACAATAAATGACTTATATCACTTAACAGACAAGCAAGGCCAAGAAGTGACTGTCATAAAGAATTGCCTGGCAAAACAAATTAAAAGAAAAAAGCATGAACGGGAATGTTATTCAAGAAAGTAGAGTCATAGACAACATAAACACTATTTTTTTTCCTTTTTTTTCTTTTTTTGTTGTGGAGGGAGGGGGGCAGACATAATAAGCCATAAATCGCACCCTAGCATGCAGTTAATTTTCATTCATGAAAACGACAAACAATAGGCAGAAGGAAGAATTTGCAGCCAAGTTGAATGAGACAATGTTGACTTGGGCTTATCAAGGAAAAATCAAGGCAGTCTATCTGACTGAATATAGTAAGCATATCATGAATTAAGAGATCATAAACCATAAATTGCTCCTTAGCATGCAGTTTTTTCATTCGTGAGAATAACCATAGCGGATGGTAGAATTTGCGGTCTAGATGAATGACACAATGGTGATAAATAAAATTCGTCGATCCATGCCCCATTTTGAGCTTATCAAGGGAAAAATCAAGAAATCATCTTGCTTTAACAATTCCAAGTCCATAAAAAAAAAAAAGTTAAAATAAAATAAAAACATAATTTGGTCCATAAACTTTTTTCAGAAAATATTAAATACTTTTTAAGCAGTAAAGGATAATCTGCAAGTTCAAACACAATCTCAGACAAATTAGTATATACTTGCCAGACAAAGATGAATTTAATAACATCAGCTTCATAATACTAAGACCACCATGTGATAAAGATAAACATGACATCACAGAATTTAAAAACATCAAGAGGGATCATACAAAGATCATGATATGAAATTACCATGTAACAAATAGACAAGCCCAATGTAAATAAGTAGCCTTTTAGAAAGATACAAATGTAAATAAGTATATTCAAAATTTCAAATTGCAGCATGTTATGGACAGATATTTTAAGAGTAATAAAGGTGAAATTAGACATTGGAACCAAGATTATATTCAACAAGGCCTACCTTCCACCCATCTTTCAGGCGCATTGAATGCTCTAGCATGATAATCAGAAAGTTATGTATGAGGTCCTCTATTTCTCCAACGCTTGGATCATTTGACGATTTGCTTGAACCCATCTATAAAAGAAGAACAATTCAAATACTACAGAACAATAACAAACCAATAGAAAAACAAAATGCCAGCATGTGTGAAAGTACATGTGCTGTGTGTGTGTGGTGCATTTGTTTATGCCCTATCAGTCCAAAACCCAAGCTGCCTTCCAAGATTACATGCCCATCTAAATGGAATCCCTTCAAGTTTTTCGTAAGACCAGTAAAATGGAGAATAAAATCCACTGAGAGTCAAAATCAAAGATATACCTCATAATTTGATATAAGAACCTCCAAAATCCATTCAGGCCATTCTTCCATAGCAGTAAGGCTGCTTCTATTTTCTGGATGACTGCAAGCCAAAAACAGAAGATCCTGAAAATCATATAGAAAGCAGTAGTTCAGAAACAAAAGCTTACTTGGAAACTAGCCAGATCCTCAAAAGAAGAAGTCAAGTAATGCCAAGAAAGTTTTGTGCTGTTTATATGCACATAGGACCCATTAAAACTTAAATTAAAGTACATCAGAGCATCGGCTAGACACATACAAACATCAAAGCACTAGTTCTAGAGTGCTTTGCTCTAAAATCAAACCCACCCTCGAAAACCAACTGCTTTGACATGATGCCAGCTCATCACTTGCTCTGCTTTGAAAAGCATCAGAGAATAGCACACTAAAGGACTTTGCGATGTCAAAGCACTACTTGTGATTTGTATATGGCAAGGCCATTATTTGAGAATGCTTTGCAGGTAAAGCAAAGTGCTCTCAAACAAGAGCTTTGTTCTCCTGCAAAGATATCATTAGAGAGAACTTTGCAGGCAAAGCAAAGCCAAGAGATTGGACATAAATTTGGGAAAAAAAAGTATTCTTTTTTGTTCCTTACGAATCAGAAGATAAACCACAGAAGAACTAGTCTCACATGTGATTAGTAATGCAAAACTAGGTAACTCAACCTCATTATGAACTAGAGAACTATCTGTTTCTATATGAAAAATAGGCAACACATAAATGTCAATATAACTGTCACAAATTATGTAAAATTATGAAATTGTGAACATGCTGAACTATGATTGTGAACAATATCAAAAAAATAAATGCTGAAAATTGCAGTGCTGAGGTAACTGCTCCAATAGGCCTATAATGTTATGAAGAAGATACAAATGCAATCTCACACACAGACATGCACCATGCCTTTAGACAAATACCTGTATTGCTCGAATTTGCAAAGGCCCAGGTGCATATGGAAGCGAGCGAAGGAGAACCAACAAAAGTTGAACATGCTCAAAGCGATGACCAGAATCATAAAGGTTTAGACCATCATCTGATGAAGAGGCATTGATCTGCAATTCAAAAAATCTAAAGTAAAATTCTAATGTATTATCAGAAACAACTGTGTACTAAGAGAAACCAAAGAATCAAGCATATTCTCATTGATCTATATTACAAGTAGGAACATAGGCTTGAACATCCATTCAAAGAAAACCCCTTACATAGCAATCAAAAGGTATTAGAATATAATTAGTTTTAAGCCTCTCTGGACCGGTCATGAAATTATGATGTAATTACACCATACCAAAAAAAATGCATGCGCATACCTTCTACTCAAGACCATAAATTGAGACTTCATTTATTATCCCAAAGTTACTCAAACAGATCCAAGTAACAACATGTAATGTACAGATCCCGTACATACTACAACCAGTAACTGAATTATCCCCACAGATGTTTCTATACGATTCAGTCAAGTTAGTTTACAACATGAACAAAGACAGGTATATGTATACAAAGTGTCTGTTTCTGCAGTTTTAAATGTGTATATAAAAAAGAGAGCTTCTCTAAAGAACATTCTGTAAATATAAGCAGGAATCTATAGTATCCTTAATGAAGAAAAATATTAAGGAAGTTTTCAAAACAACTACATTACAATACGTCATATGCACAATTCCAAATAGATTATGAGATGTATGGACAACTGAAAATATATTCTAGCCATACCGAAGCACCCACTAAAGCCACATAAACAGTGTTTGTCATCAGCCTCTCTGGTGCTGCTTGAAAAGCTTTTTGCAAGGCAAATAAAAGCAAAGAAATTTTATCTGCAAACATGGAGCTGCCTTCTTCTGGTGCTTCATTTCCCAAAATGTTATTGGGCAATGCTGATGTTGCAGTATATGAAGTAAATTTTAAATATCCAGATGTCACTAGAGCTCCAAGAAGGCTGATAATTCCTACAACAATTCCATCACCATCATCAACATTGTAAACGTTATTTCTCGCACTCTCAGCACTTATTGAGAGGTTTATGCCACCCAAATTCTTGGCTATAAAGCTCTCAGATAAGGATGCCATTCTTCCTATGTCTGTACCCAAAGGTAGCTTTTCGGGGCTGCTTTCACTATGGAGGGGCTGCAATTCAGAATCTACAAGAGGAACAGATTCCACCTCTATCTCCCCCGAAGGGCTTAAGTCATCCTGGCTTTTTGAGTCTAAGTCATCCTGGCTTTTATCTGGCATAGCTATATTTTCTTGCTCGAGCTCCTGATCGAATGTGTTCTTGGCATCATGTATTTGTGAATCTGAAGAAACTCCCCTGTTACCAGCTTTTGCTTCACGCTGAAGAAGGACAAGCAGGGTTTCGATGCCCCCAGATGACAAAAATGACTCCGCAAATGTCTGAGCACGTGAGGTATTTGGCTGCACAACCAGCCTATAAATGAGATGCAATACCCTGGCTACCTGCAGACATATTAAATGCACAATTAGGTAGTTCCAACTCATAAAGCAAAGTCAGATAAAGAAAAAGTTTACCAACGATAGAGAAATCAAAAGCACATATAGCCATACATGCCTGGCAAAGAAAACATTATTATGCTACTCATTCCCATAAAGATAACATATGTTATTTCTCAATTTTAAGTGCTTGATATGCCAAAAACCATTTAATTAACCCTTAAGCACCACACATTAAACAAAATGAAGAAGACTATAGCCAAAACAACAAAGAAAGAATAAGATGCTGATTACATGCATCATGCAATTACCTTAGCAAAATTTTAAGTTTTAAACAACAAAAGGTAACAACTATGAAGAAACCCCCACCAACTTCCATATGCTACCAATTATAACACCAAAACTTATCCAAATTTTTATTCTACTATTTCGCTTCCTTGGGCCAATATCCTCCATCAGATATAATACCAAGGCAATCAGCACTAGGTTCAAAAGAATACTCGGGCAAGTGCTCATAATGATCATTAGAAGCATACTTACAATGCTAATTGCAAGTATAAAAGATATATCATATATCATTATCATCAACATCAGCCATATCCCAACTATTTGGGGTCGGATATAAAAGAGAAATCATATAAAAAAAGAAAATAAAGCATATAAAAAGACAATTGTAAGAAATTTCATAGTTAACCTTTCCTCAAAAAAAATTTGTAAGACATTTCATTCTCTATTTAAGAAAGAAATGAAAAAAAAATTCAAGAGGAAGTACGAAGAAAAGCAAACATATGACTCTGGCTAGAGAATTTCAAATGAAGTACACATAGTACCTGATTTGGTTGTGGACAATCTACCAAAAAGCTGATTAAACACCGAACATCACTAACAGCCATTTCGGCAGGTGAAGCTCCAACTAGCAGTTCAACAACCACTAAAAGCTCATCAACCAAAGCATTCACTTCACCAACTAGCCGCGATGTTTCATGCAGTGAAAATGTACTTACTGAATCGGTTTCACGAACAACCCAATAGCAACGCCGGCATCCATCTAAAAGCATCTGGACAGCATTAGCATCCCTCATCGTCGATGACTCAGAGAAAACCATGTCAGCAAGGGAAGAGAGAAGCTTTTTCTGGAGCCCATAACTACATGAACTCCACATCTTCAAATCCAAAAGCAAATTACTGAACAATTGCACCTTGAGAGCAGGATTACTTTTTTGAGATTGGCACAATGACACAATCGCTGCAACAAGTTCCTCATCCCTGACACCAGTTTTCTTTTCAAGATCCAAAGATGACAAAGTAAGGAGAAGGTACCTGAGAAGTCGGGCCAAAACCTCAGGTCCATGACCACGACATAGCTCCTCATTATTACCAGGGTGTTGGATTGCCATTGATATAATTCTGAATATCGGTCCAGCGAGAGAGGTTGTTGCCAGAGATAAAGGGAACTTGCCAGGCAGAGGCTCGAGGGTATCACTTTGTACGTTGCTAACGACTAGTGGAAGCAAGGACATTGGACCACCTGTGGCCCACAATGCCTCTATGGGGCGCATACGAGTTGCAACATGAACTTGGCCCAGAACCTCGGCAGGTCTCCTATGTGTACCTGCACCATAAAATACTATAAGGCACCCACTCAAGGAGTAATAGAAAGGCAAATTGTACACTAGCAATGAAAAAGGAATTGATCATAACGGGTATCAAATGGGTAGGGTCGACCAGGCAACCCTCCAAGTGGACCTGGTCTGGTCCAAGTTCAAGTCAAAGGCCTGGACCCACGGGATCGGGTCCAGGATGACCTAATCCAAAACTGAACTAGGTCCCATTTACAATACATATTAATATATATTACATATAATATTACATTTACATGTGTATAAACATATACACACCATGTACAATACATATTAATATATATTACATACAGATAATATACAACATATTAATAGATATTACATACATAGAATATACATGTAAATGTATATAAACATA